CAATTTTGCTTTAAATCAATTTAGATGTTACAGCAACAAGGAGCTTCTCTTCATTATTTTTTCGTCTTTCCAAAGTGCCGAGCCTCAATTCCATTGACAAATGAACAATCAGTCATTTACAAAACAAAACAAAAAAAAAAAAACAAAAAACAAAAAACAAAAAACAAAAAAACAAAAACAAAGCAAAAAATCCAATATTCAATAGTGAAAATCATATATAAACGTAAAGGAAAGATCGTTATATTAGTCCTCGGGACTGATAATGTCCCCTTGATCCTCGACATTATACGTAAAATTGTGTGTAACAAGTACAGTCGAATTAATAAGTCGAAAGCCACTCTCCGCCGACATTCTCATCGGTGCGTATTTACATTCGAAATATCGCACATTTATTGTTTGATTGAGCGGATAGGCGCATTTAACGATCGGCAGGAACGTGGAATATATATCGACGGGTGATCGAGAGGCTCACGGCTTGATTTACCGCAGGCCAGCTACACCACGTCGGATCGTATCGACTTTATATACTTGTGCGCGAGGCGCGCGGTATACGGAGCCGTGTAACGTTTCAAATTAACCGAAGCCCATTCACGGAACGAACGTGAGCACAGCAGCAGCAGCAGCAGCGACAGCCACAGCCGGAGCAGCAGCAGCCGGAGCAGCAACAGCAACAGCAACGACTGATGCAATGAGCTGCATGCAGGCAAATCTCATTCCCTCGATTCTCTTTTTCTTCCTCCCCCGATTCTTTATTTTTGCCTCTTTATTTCTGCCTCTCGCCCTCTTACTCGTCTCTTCTGTTATACACGAAAAGCAAAAAATCTATTAAAAATTAACATACTTTCTGGAAGCGAGGCACAGGATCTGCGGAGATGCCGAGCCACGGCTTAGGCGATTCGTTCGCAGTTCTGCCTCGCTGATTTGACTGCAATTACCCTTCCCTTCCACCGGCTTTCATCAACTCGTACGCACTGCTCTTATTTTGTCGTATTTCGTTATCGACTTGGTTAACACACATTGTGCACGTACGAAACTCAAAATGTTGTTTAAAATAATGTTATCCATATCACGTATCTCGCATACATGAAAAGACGATTGAATTTCCTCTAAGGAGCTTCTAATTCCAAGAATATTGATTGCATCAACCGAGATCGGATAAGACTTTTTAAATGTCTGAAATGAGCCGGTCATTCTAACGACGATATTTTTTTCTATTTTCCTATGTGTTTTTATGTAACTATTTCATTTATCCAATTTATATTCAGCTTTTGAGACTTTACCCAATTGGCAATATATAAATTTGTAATATCCTATTTAAAATGTAATTTGATTATTGGTGAAATCATGCAGAGCCATGCGGTAAAACTACTTTCCTTTCTACGTATAAAAGAAATTGCTTTTTACGATATTGAACGTCGAGACTCATATTTTTATATGCTTTAAAGAAACGTGAAATAATTTACCAACCTACGAATAATACTATATAATTCGTTGAAAAGAAAAATTGTATATTGTCTATAGGATAATTCAAAATTTTTCATTCAATGATTGTTAATATCGCTTATGATCCAAGTTCAAGCATTAATGATTAAAATGCTCGGATACTATTTCAAACGTAGTATAATTAATATTAAGCTAAACTTGATACAATTTACATCGGTAGCTTTCATATTTTCAACCTGCATATTCTATCATTAAAGTGCAATTTTTAATGTATTTATTTGTTTAGTTTAATTTAATTTTATTTTATTTCCGCGCCGTGTTTATGTATCGGTCTATTCTAATTCGAGACCGGCATTCGAGCACATTTTTCCTGTTAAAATTAATTTTAATAAATATTATCTAATCAATGAAATATTGTTATTATTACATGAGCGATTTGCCGTGAAATTACATTATTGAGCACTCGAGCATAGAGCAAATGTAAATATTAAAAATTGGTGAACACCCGAACGACCGAAGCTCATTTAGCGACTATCAATCGCATTAATATTTATCAAAGCGACTGCGCGATTCATCATTTTCTCTCCCCATTCGTAAAATAATGCCTCGAATTCGTGTGCCAGCAAGACTTGTCGCGAAGAGAGGCAAAAGGTAGCTGTTAACATGGCAATATCGCGCTTTTCCAGTACTTCTACGAAGAAGTCGAACGATCTTGGGAACGAGGTAGAAGCAGAGGAGGAGATGATAGGGGGTGCGAAGGCGCGAACGAACATCTGCGCTTCAAAGAAAGAAGCTGAAACAGAAAGAGAGAGAGAGAGAGAGAGAGACAGAGAGACAAAGAGAGACAGAGAGAGAGAGAGAGAGAGAGAGAGCACGCGAGAGAGACTAATTATCCCCCTCCGGGCGAAGGGAATCGGGTGCTGCTGCGCGTCCCATGACACAGGAGAAATCCTAGGCGGCCATTACTATATCGGCAGCGCGCGATCTCTCATTCCACCGCAAATGTTTTGAATTTTAAAGAAGAGGAGAAGGCGAAAAAGGAGTGAGAGAAGCTGAGATTGCATCGACCGAGTGCATCTGTCGTGAACGATGAAATATATCGAGTATGTCTCCATACCTGCCCATGGGCATTTACAACCTTTCATTTTACAATATTTTTTATCCCAAAACAAAGATGCAAGACAATTTCGATTTTGGACTTTATAAAAACACTTTTGATCGAGAACTTTCTATAATAGAGTAGAATTGTATAAACGATTTGCCCTTTATTCTCCATTATTCTGTTAAACAACATTAAATGTAGTCGATTTTTCGCCTATTGAAAACTTAAACACTTTGTGAATAGTCAAAAGCGACTGATAAAATCGAGCATTTACTTCATTAGTTTCTTATTCCGGATTCTCAGAATGCTTGTTTAATCTTGAAGGCCAATTAACCGCAACTGTTACTTTTACTTTGCATATTTTACACGGGATACAGACGTGTAGGTATCTAAACGGTTGCAACGGCCAAGCCAATGCTTCCTTACCAACAAAAGTATTGTTTATATATTGTATTTTGAAATTCATTTACAAATTTACGGTTCATGGAGAAAAGAAGATCGAGCGATGATATTGAAAATTTTATTAATATAAAATGGTGCAAATATAAAATATCAGGCAGACTGCTAATATGCGAAATTACGTTTTCCTTGAAACGCGTGCAAAATCGAGGATTTATTTCCTTTTTATAATATGCTTGTCAATATTTTATTCTAAGCTATTTTTTAGACACAAATAGAAACTTAGATTAAACGTTAATGTGCGATTGCATTCCAAGTACTACAAAAAACTAATTTCTCCCACTCACTAAAAAATTCTAGATATTAAAATTCTCTTTTAATTAAGTATAAACATCTAGCTCGGCCGCCTTAGTTTGCGTCATTGCATCAGCAATCATCTCGAGTACTAACAAAACCTCAGCTCAGATACTTCACGTGTGCCTCGTACAGGAGAAGATGCAAAGCATATTTTATTGCGGAAAGGAGTACCACGATTCAACTGTCCCTTTCTCTTACCCACTCACTCACTCGCTCACTCGCTCACTCACTCTCTCTCTCTCTCTCTCTCTCTCTCTCTCTCTTTCGCATTCATTCTCACTCACTCACTCATTCTCTTCCTTTCTCTCTCCTGTGTGCTCCCTCTCACGCAGTCCTCTAATTGACCACGATCGACGATCGGCCGCTACACCCCCGCCACCTATAAGCAGTGCGCGCGCGTCGTGGTAGAACCTCAGCCATTTTTAAAATTTCAAATCCGTATTTGCGTTGCAGATGCACCGTGGCGGGTCGGAGAGGGGGCCACTTCGAGACGCGCGCGCTCCCAGTGTATACTGTTTTCTCTCAATTAAGCCTTAATTAAGTTAAAATTAACATCGTGGATTTCTCTCTACCAACGGACAGCCTTCCCCGTCCTTCGTCTCTTACCCGAAGAACGACCTCACGCTCGGCATCCCTCTTCTTCTCTAAGGTGAGACAGAGAGAGAGAGAGAGAGAGAGAGAGAGAGAGAGAGAGAGAGAGAGAGCGATCCGCTGGCGCTGGGTGGCCCGACTCTGCCGAGCGTCGCCGTCGTCGTACAGTCGCAAAGGGAAATTATTTCGACCGTCTTATAGTAGGAGCTCGTATTATTGACTCCCGGGGATCCCTAACGCGATACTAGCCGCGATGAATTGCACGCGGTGGGAGTGGTGCCCCAGGACTTTTTGCTGAACTGATAAGCGCGCGAGCCTTTTTCATTACGGTGAATCACCTTGTTTTTCGGTAGCACTTCCTCGGAATAATTAATGCAATATCGTTTAGATACTTTTTTCGATTAGCCTTGTGAATTTTAATATTTTTATAGCATGAAACTCCGTTCACGAGACAGTTGTTACCATTTCGAACTTAAATAATAACGCTTCATAATAAGAATCACATTAAATTATATATATATATATATATATATATATCTTCGGAATGCTAGTTTTCGTACTTTTGCGTGCTAATTCTTAGATGATAATTTGTAACATCAACATATGAACCATTCAATCGTAGTTCAATATTCAAAAATCTTGTTCGAATAATCTATGGTAAAGGGCATGTTAACGGATGAAAGCACTATCGAATGAAAAATGAAATGATATATATCCTGAATGAAAAATACGATTGGCTATCATCGCCTAAAGTAATTATTAACTAATAAAGCGAATAATAAAATGGCAGGATAAAATTAACGGGCACAGGTACACGCGTATCCTATAGCTGTGCGCATCCTACATATTATCGTTACGATGTTGCTGTTGTTGTTGTTGTTGTTATTGTTGTTGTTGTTGTTGTTATTAAATTCAGCGAGGTAATCGATCAACATTGGTTGGAGAAACGCGGCACTCCTACGAAAGCCCAAGAGCACATAAATTCAACTTGGGCTAAGAAACAAAACGGAATTCTCACGCGACGAGAGAAATAATAAGAGGAGACGAAAAATGAGGAACGATCGAGCCTCTGTCCCCACGGTGTCGCTCAGTGGGCGATCGAGGCACAATGGAGAAGAAGGGGAGCAGGCCCACACCTGACTTTGCTTTTGACGGCGCCTGTACGCTCGTCGAAGGTGTCTCCGCCGTCGTGGGAGGGGAGCAGCTTTATACTGGGAATCGAAAGTCTTTAGATAAACCAGGCTTCATTAGGGTGAGGATGATCGGACAAGCCGATGCCGCCGCTACTGTGCGCCAGGAGACTACCGTAACCATGTCCCCCGGGACGAGGCGCACACCTCCTTGGAGATTGACCGCCGTAGGTGTGCCCTCACCCGGGGCGTAGATAAGTCGACGTTATAGGCCGCGAATGGGCTCTTTTCACACTTTTTTAACCTGTGAGCGAGTGGCTGGATTCCCTTAGCATTGGCCGAGGAAAAGCTCGCAACCTACCATGTTGCCACAAACATTTCCCAATGTTGACACTATTCGAATAAATTATCCATCTTGTCCTATCAAAATTGACGATAAACCGTAATTGCTCAGCCACTCCACGGACGAAGTAGCTAATGCTATCTCAGGAGGCCCTGCATTTTATTAGAACGCTTTAATTAAGTTTACTTATAAAACCGTATGATTGTTTAGGATCGCATGGCCAATTACGTGGAACACCTTCGTCGAGTTTCATGAATTCGTGACATTCGTTATGTGCATAAGAAAGGACAATTATAAGATCGACCTGAATAGTAATAAACTAATTGTGTCAGCACGAGCGCATGAGGGGATAAGGTTAGAGGGAAAAATTGTGCTCGACTGGGCGAAAAAAGAGCGAGTATCGGAAGGACATAAATAAAGATCGGCAAAAAGAGAATGATCGTGAGCCCCTCTAGAAGAAATACACTGGAGAAGCGAGAGAGCAAAGGAATAAGTGTCCGTGTTCGTCCGGGCAATGCTTGAGCATCGCCTTGTCGCTCGGGGATTATGCTAAAAGACCTACGGCGAGCAGCAACAGCACAGCCAACAGCTTCCACGTTTTGAATTAGGGAGCGAACGAAGGCTGAGATAGAAGCTGTGAGAAATTGCATATGTGTGTGTGTGTGTGTGTGTGTGTGTGTGTGTGTGTGAGAGAGAGAGAGAGTGAGATACTGCACTCGAGCTGGAGATACGGAAGGTGAGATTGAGAAGAAGGAAGGAAGGGGTGCGAGGGGGTGAGATGATCGCGTATACGCTTATCGAGGCCTTACGTACGAGAGAGAGAGAGAGAGAGAGAGAGAGAGAGAGAGAGAGGGACGGACGATTTTAATTCGTACACCTCGTAGGGCTCGGTATGGGCAGCTGATTTCATCGCGATCTCTGACGATTCTTTTAATTGCCTTTGATTAGGCGCTGTGTACGGCATTCGCGTGCAAGTGTGCGTGAACGTGTCTCTCAAGGCTGGATCTTTTGAGAAGTTTTAATTAAAGACCTTTTCCGAGAGATCGTCACTGCCTATCATCTGATGTTTTAATGCGCGAGTAAAGGAGGAGGTTTGGCATGTTTTGTTAGCCACCGATAACTATTTTACTCCGTCGACTGTTTTTAATTTTTAATCCAGCCACGCTACGGATATCTTAAGCGATAATAAAAATGCTTTCTCATAGGGATTATGGCGATTGATTTTCTAGAAAAACAAAAAACAAATGAAGCTTTGCTAAAATTTTTTATTACCATGCTTATTCGTACACTAAGAATGTTATAATATTCACTTTAAAACTGTATATGTATGTTTATATGTTTGACAGTTTGTAAAATCACATGTGTCAAAAATAAATAAACTCATACCTTATGTTTAGTATATACACAGATTAGTAGGTATAATATCTAGAATATTTTTTGTGTCACATTGAATTTAACCGAAACAGTTTATCTGATTAATTTGATATATATATCTTATATATCTATACATCTATATAGAGATACTTTACTCGACTTTAAAATTTGAGTATTTATATACAAATATGTATATATCTAATTGCTTTTAATTAAAGAGATTTATTTACAAGTAAATTAATTTGTGTACTTTCAAGTTGCTGGTCCATTAATTTCATTAATGTTTAAATTTCTAGAAATTTTCCAAGTAAACGTAATGTCGCGTTTTGCAAAATATTTAAACACTTTCATTCGCATAAATCCGTTCTACAATAATTTTTTGGACCTTTTATACTAAATCTAATTACTCCGTGAATTACTTGAAGTGATATAATCACTGATTAACGAGCAAATGTCTTGATTACAAAATGTCGATTAAGCTTTATAAAATGCTTTTTCGCCGCTTAACAGATACGGCTATTATATTAAATGCTAATGAATAATATATTCAGCCGACGAAACGAAATTAAGTAAAAATAGATATTTAATTTAAGAATAAATGTCATATCGTGTTTGATGTCAGAGAAAATATGTTAAATTTCATTTAAACGATTCCATATAATTAATTGAATTTTGCATCCATGTTATCTGTATCTATACACACTATTGGCGACGAAGAGAAAAAAACCAATCTAACACGACTATTCATATTATTATTTATTGATTGTACTTTTTTCTTTCATTTATGTTAATCACGTTCATTGCTCATATGTTTTATCTCATACTCAAGATTTAATATTCACAGCCTTTTTATGAATGCAAATTTTGTGTATAAAAAGTTGAATTTATATTTCATTTAAGTAACTTTCTTAAGAATTCAATCGATCATTATTTTCGAGCTGGAATCCTCGGTTCCATACATAGCCATTCCTGTTAGATGGTGAAATATAATTATTGTGAAGTGAGTTATTTTATATCGGATTTTAATGATGAGTGAGGAAAAAGTAAGACAAGAAATTAATGGTAATTATTTAAAGGACCTAAAGCTCTCGAGGCATTACGCAACAGGAGTAATTGCGTTAAAAGTAAAAAAAAAAAAAAAAAAAGGAAGAAGAAGAAGAAAAAAATGCGGGCTTGGAGGAGACCGAATTCCAATGGACGGGCTTTTTGTATCGCTTAAGTAGATTCGACCCACGAGATTTTCGAAGAATATTCGTGCTTGGCTTATCGGACATCAACCGGAACCACGAATATAATCTTCTTCGAATGAAAGGAAAGCGCCCGTTAAACTGGTGCGTTGGCTAGGCCGGGAAGCCAGGGTTAATAACGTAACGGCGTTAAGAATCGGCAAAAGAGGTCGCGAGTCCCGAGGAAAAAGACAGCTGGCCAACACCTGGGTCCAACCCCTCCCCGCTAATTAATCGGCCAAACGGCCGAGAAAAATCGGAGCTTCCGTTCGCGGAATTTCCCTTGGGGACGACGTTATAATGATCACGGACGGCCAGTTGCGGGCAGACATTGAAAATTCGCGCGCGAGGTGCGCGTCCATCTCCGTAGCCGCGATACAAGCACTTCACCTGCTCTCGGGCGTTTCTCGGGACTTCTTGGGAGTCGAGGCCTTCGCAGATCGGCCCCTTGATTTTCCAGGATCCCCGTAGTTGTCGTTGTTGTCGTCCTCCTCCCTCCATCCTCCCTCTCGACCGGGGCGACCTTCGATCGATCGCTCGGCTGTTCGCTCCTTCCCCACAAGTGGGCGGTACTTCCATTTAAATTCCACGTCCTCTCCTTTTTCTCTTGTCGTTCGCGCTCATACACGTATGCAAGCGCGAAACACTTCTGCGAGTTTCATCCCCATTTCTGCCGAGAATGCCCCGTTGTCGAACGAACCAATGCAAACGGAGCGAGTGTCAGAGAGCGAGAGACAGAGAGCGAGAGACAGAGAGCGAGAGACAGAGAGCGAGAGACAGAGAGCGAGAGACAGAGAGCGAGAGACAGAGAGCGAGAGACAGAGAGCGAGAGACAGAGAGCGAGAGACAGAGAGCGAGAGACAGAGAGCGAGAGACAGAGAGCGAGAGACAGAGAGCGAGAGACAGAGAGCGAGAGACAGAGAGCGAGAGACAGAGATTCTTCTCATTAGCAAGAGCTCGAGCCACACTCGGACGGGGGAATTTTTCAATATGAAAAACGCGAATGCGTGCATGAGTACACGTGCGCGGTGCTGTACGAAATTTCGTGCTATATTTCAACGGATTAATACACAGCATGACAGGTGTGTTATGTTTTGTATCGACGTCCGCGATACGCATCCAATATATTATACGTCATCCGATTACTTTTATTTTTCTTACGATGGCCTGATTTTTCCCGATAAAAACCAATAATTATTGCACTTAAGCAACTCATGTCTGTTACACATCTATTATATCGAGCGATGATTTATCGATGCTTTTCTCCTTTTTACACTACAAGCTTTATAATCAATTAATTCTAATAATTTTCGGCGGAAAGAGGTATTTGTTATTGAAATTACTAGTAGCGAGTAGTCATTACTTTAGCATCCTTTAATATTGTTCTAGTCTGCGTCATTAAAGAATAACGATTATTAAAGAGACTTTTGCGTGGTTACAATACATACGACTGCTCTAAGAAAATATATAGCTGCTTATGAGCGGACAATTAAACAGTGAATTTCATAGATATTTAATTGAGAAAATTTTTAAACATTCAAGCGATTAAATGCAATCGATTATAATGTGTATTCGAACGAAATTTTCAAATAAATTAATTAATTATGAATATATTTTATCGCTCTCAATTTAACAACAATGAATGAACAATCAAGTTTTTATGTTTTTTGTTTTTTAATTTATTCTTTTTTGCTTTTTACAGAAAAAGCTCCTACCTGCATAAGGTATTGAACGCATAATTAGGTAAATTTTATTATACAGACTCGTACTCTGATAGATTATTATTAATACTCGACACTTATACTTGGATAGATTTTTGAACCAATTGCATTTTATCGAAAGTATTCGAGTTTATTACACACATATTACATGAATATTTAAGCTGCTGACAATGATTGCACTCTGTACATTATCATAATCATGAATAATTACGATGTTTATTAAACAATATTATATTTGGAAAACATAATGGAAAGTAATATTAATTTCTAAGATACCAAGTAAGCGTATTGTCAAATATATATATATATATATATATATATATATATAAATATATGGGTGTATTACTTTCATGATGACTTGTTTCCGATGCAAAAATCATTTTGTGTAAAATGTTCTGATATGAATCATGAAGAACTCTCAAGATAGGCTGCACCACTAGGTACGGATATTTGTTTAAATTTTTTTCTTTTTACGTATAAAATATCGTTGAACACAAGAAGTAATAGCTCTTCATTTGAAGTACAATGATAAATGACACCAAAATCTGACATAAACATAAAACGACCAAGTAAAATAACTTTCGCGAAATTTATTTTATTTAAAATAAATTGAGCGCATAGCCATGAAAACATTATGTAATCGTAAAGATACAAATCTTCTTATAATTACTCGCAAATTATTGTAATGTAGCATTTATCATTAATGACAATTTCTCCATTTTTTTAATCTTATATTCAATTGTAAATTAATTTTACACGCCACGAATGGCCAACCTCGTTAAAGTCAAGTAAAATGTCAGAAAATTAAGGAAGAAACGATATGCATTGTCGGCTACATCGAAATTCGATTTCCTACTCACACTGAGCTGCAAAATGCGACGCCCGAGTACTTAAGACCCTCGAGTGCAAGTGAAGCTTAGCAAAATCACCAATGAAGCAATTAAAGCAGGTCAAAAAAAATGCCATTATCCCACGCCAACTCCCATCCACCTACAAGCGAGGAATCGAGCAACGCATTCGATACATAAAACTCCTTTTTCTCATAGTGCAGCGCTCGTACTACACAGGAAAAGGGTTACTTCTCTTCTCCTCCCCGTTCCCCCAAACCTGGCCACCCATCCACCCTCCCCTCCCACATTGGCGTTTCTCGTTTCTTCGAGACGGCTAATCAGCGTTCCGGAACAGCAAGCAGTCAAGAGAATCGTTTCTCTCTCTCTCTCTCTCTCTCTCTCTCTCTCTCTCTCTCCGTCTTTCCCATTCCCTAGCGTCATCCCGTCCTTGTCGCCTCAACCTTTGGCACGTCGATGTGCATACACGTGTGTATGAGCGCGCGCGAGCGTCCCCACACGCGCGCACGCATACGAACTACGTATGTATTGCGCCAAGGGGCAAAGCCGATTTCTTTCGCGGGTAAATGCGTCGCAATTCTCATACGTTTAAGGAGGCGAATTTGGAATAAGGCGAGTTGGACTGAAACTTCTCTTCGCAATTTCATAACCAATATCGACGACAGATAGTTATAGCTAGTTTCCCGCCGTATCACGTTGAAGATTTTAATTTTCAATAATTCAGCGATTACCCGTCGAAAAGTTTGGAGCATACGAGTCTCGGCAACTTAATGCATTGCATTTGTCACAAGCCATGCAGCTTAAACAAACCACTCGAAAAAGGAAGATTATAAAAACGAAAATGAAGTCTATCGGGTCCCATTAGTGCACCACTCCCATAAAAAGCCATTACAACGGCTTAATAAACATCGTAATGGTTTTTAGAACGGAGTTGCACATTTATCCCTGGATTCTTGGCGTAACGCATCATTCCGCGATTCTCATTACTGAGCGAGACACGGAAGATTTTCGACGTTCGTCGTGGCCCGAAAGACGCGCGTCGCGCTTCGCCTCGTCCCGGCGGTAAGGGGTTGGTCACCCGATTTTTATTCGATTCGCCGCGTAATTCTATTGTTTTCACGGACTATTAAGTTACCGATAATGGGCTGCTTCCGCTCGCGAGTCCATCCGTGCGTCGAACTCCTCGAAATGCAGGAAAAGGTGCGCCCGCGAAAGACAGAAAGAAAGAGAGAGAGAGAGAGAGAGAGTGAGTGAGATAGAGATAGAGATAGAGATAGAGATAGAGTGAGAAACTAATTCGGACTTTACAAGATTAAGGCGAGGCTGCCACTTCATTTAACCTCGTTGTGTTCTACTAGCCAGCGATATTCCAACGACTTTTTCCTACGTCACCCCTCCCCCTCCCCATCCCACCTTCTCCTCTACCCCACGGTACCCTTGTCCTACTTTTTATTCCTGATATTTTTCATGAGGTGCCATAGGTGCTTTCCGTATCTGTCTCGGGATCCCTGATTACTCTCTCGTTTAGTTTGCACGCTCGAACGAAAGGCAGGTGAGAGCGCTAAATTTGAACTCTATACTTATGGCGAGAAGCGAAGTTTTTTCTAAGGAGGAACGAACACGAGTGGAACATACTTTTGATACAATGCATCCTGAATATAATTGCAATTTATTTCAGTTCTATATTCTTAAGAATTGCAGGAAATACGGCGTTATTATTCAATAATCTACGCTTAATATCAAACTATGACTTTTCATTTTACTTCCCTTGGATTTTCACCACAGAGCCGCACTTTTCCTTACTTATATTATTTTACTTCGAAATTCACGATCAAGTTGATTTTTTCGGTAATTTAATTGTGTCGAACAACAATTGCGTTAAGTATCGAATAAGTTTATTATAAATAAATTAAAACCTTTGATTCGACATAGTAGTGAGTATTAATTTTATTGATTTATGTTACTCTGAAGTTTTCACTCAACTATTTTTATTTCAAATACTTAATATAGAACTAAAATTCTCTTTTAAAAATTCGCTAAGATATTACTGTTCCTATGCATATTAAACATAGACTATAAAACACATTCTATGTTTTATAAATGTTTTATTGGCTACTAAGATAAGAATTTAAATTAAAATAGTAAATCGAATAATTCAATGTACGCAAATGTGGATACGTGTATACGTATGCGCGTGTATGTACATGTAAAGTAGCAAATTTTAAAAATCGATAAAAGATTTTTACGTATTAATTAATGGAATTGCTAATTTAAAAATATACGTTTACTTTAAATTCGAAAAAATTTTAATTTATATTTATTCGTTTTAACGCTAAAATATTATTTACGATATATAAATTTTTTTTTATACAATGATGTTATTAAAACCTTATATCCTAAGCTTAAGCATTAATGATAAAATTTTCATATTAACGAACTTATATTAATCACTCGATAGTCCTTGCCATTTAGAAGAGAAATATATTATTATCTATAAAAATTGTTGGCAAGCTTATTTTATAAAAACTATTAAATTTTAAATAAATACAATAACGAACGTGCAGTGAATATTTTTCTTTTTATGTTTTTGATTTTTCTTGGGTGGTTTTTTTTTATTAACCATTGACTACTTCATTTATGCCTGAAAATCAATTGCTTCGATGGTGCTCTTTCGTAATTGTAAACAAATTCCAACTAAGCATTAACTTTAATAAACGATAAAAAGTTAATGAAAAATAGAATGAAAAAAAAAAAAGAAACAATAAGCGAGCGCATGCTACCAACAAAAAGTAAAACTCTTCAAGAGCCTAAAGGTCACTTTTTGCTTCATACGAAGAAGATAAAGCGCATAACGAAAGCTAATAATGTCTGGGTGGCTATGGTCTGTCCCTCTCAGTACAGATCTCGGGAAAAGACAGAGGAAGAGGACCCGAATGGACATAGTGCTGCAGTAAAATCACATCGAGATACATAACTTGAAGAAGAATACGATGTGCCTAAATTGTTAAGCATCAAATTACTTTGTTAAATATTAACTCCCAAGATTTTATGCTAATAACGAAATTCGTTTGAAATACTGATTTAAATCAAAAATGAAAAAAGAAAAGATAAAAATTCTTCGCTCTGACACATATTCTTTAATGCGTTCGGCTACGTTATTACATTATTAAGTCCCTTGGAAATTCTGTTTTTATTTTAGTAGTTTGCTTTTTTAATTTTGCTCAAACAATACTTAAGCATTTAAAACCTTGAGTATTGTAATGTGCTGCAATTACGCGAGAAAGATGGTTCTTCGAATAAAACAATAGTAATAATGTAGAAATTCAATGCTTAGTAAGATCCACAATTTTTCTTTCGCCATCGTATTCACATTGAAAAAAAAAATAAATAAATAAATAAAAGTAAAACAAAAGTAAAATAATTGTTAAACAACAATAATAATATAAAATTTTTATTCATTTTCATTATCACAATGTATATTTTTTATTAATATATCTGTTGATGTTGAACTGTTCCATCAGGACTTTCAATTATATTAAGCGTTCGACTCATGCACACACAAGGCATTTAAATATTATTTTTATTTTTAATAATAATATACATTAATCGTGAATCTCATGACAATTTTACATATGACTTTATGTGAAAACTGTATAATTACAGTTATATACTAATGTTTATTATCGATGTATAATAATTGTTAATGAAAAGTCGAAAACTATATTATGCATTATAAGTAGTTAAATTTAACCGTTAGTTAACTATTAGAATTAAACTTTTTTTTTAATTACGAGATTTATTGCTTAATATCTCTTTTGAAAAGCAATAACTAAATTTCGTTATGCTGATAAACATATTATATTTACAAACATAAATGTAAATATAAATATATATATATATATATATATATATAGGATAATAAAAGCAATTATAATTAGAATACATTTTATAAAAAGAAAGTTAACTTAATGAAAGTCTGATTAGTTAATTGAAGCTAAGCTCCCTATACAAATTATACTAATAGAAGGCCCACTTTTTCAATCTTGCGAACTCGATTACATACAAAATGGAGTGTGTGAGTAACGACAAAAAATTCTGCTTAGCTTATGATTGCAGATATTAAATATAGATAACATTGGAAATTTATTGAAAATTGAAAATT